GACTCTACTAATTGAATATAATCATGCTAACTATTTACATTGGCAAACTATCATTCTCAAAGTAAAATACACATTCGACGCGTGCTTATTAGTTAATGCATCTACATATCAGCAATTTAATAATTATTCAGAAATGTTTCAATGCTCTAACTCATTGAAATTTATTTCGAAACATCGCCTTGTTGATGGACGTCGAGATTGTCATAACAATGATGATGAGATTGCTGATGCATGTACAATAAAGAATGAATATCGATTTCAATGTTCTAAAAAGGACATTAACAATAACAAAAGCATATGTATACTACCATTTAGAGTGATGGATGGATTCAATGGCTGCCCTGATGGAGAAAACAACAAAATACGTCTATTGATAGGTAGTATGGTCCGACAAAACCTATCTGCGATTGATTTCAAAAACTTTTGGTCAAGTGATCATATTTTAAGCAATACATTTTTTCCAAGTATCTGTAATGGAATCAAACAAACTTCACCCATGTTGATTAATGAAGAATATCATTCAGATGAAACTGAATGTGAAGATTGGCCTTGTAACAATATTTATAGTCGATGCGACACGTTTTGGAGCTGTAAAAATGGTATGGATGAATTGAATTGTAAACCTAACCAATGCCCACCGTTGCATCATGCATGTGTATCACCTAAAACTCTGAAACTCGACTGTTTACCTATATATAAAGCGGGTGACAATATTATGGACTGCTTAGGAGGAACAGATGAATTACAGCAATGTCAAGTTGGAGTATCCACACAAACAATATTTCAGTGCGGAAACGTTTCAAAGACAACCTGTTTGAGAATAATGCTCTTATGTGATAAGAAGAATGATTGTTTATTTGGTGATGACGAAAAATTTTGTCAAAATTACATGACGGGATTTATGCGTTTATGTTCTAGTAATGTGCCTAATTTCAATCGATCAAAAGAAGAAGAATTTTTTTGCGGTTTGACAACTACAGCGCCGAAAATAAAAACATATTTTATACTTAGTAGTCAACTTGATTATACTTTGCCTTTCGAATCACAAAAAGAACACAAATTCCAACAGAAAACAATCGTAAATGAGAATAATTTTGTGCGTACAAACAATTTTACATGGGCACAACAATGTAAACGTGGCTTGCGTGTTCATGTAAATAGCGAAGATAATAATACATATAAATGCTTTTGTCCTCCTGCTTATTATGGAAACACTTGCGAATATCAAAATCAACGTGTTTCTATCACCATTCAAATTCGTGCAATAGCCTATTGGCAAACTATGTTTAGTATTGTATTGTTACTAATTAACAATAATGATCAAACTATTGAATCGTATGCTAAAATCGAATTTATTTCTATACAAGATTGTGGTATAAAGTATCATATTAATCTTTTGTATTCAACTCGACCTAAAGATGAGTCAAGAAATTATTCAATTCGTATTGATGTATTTGATCGACATTCAATGGAATATCGCGGAAGTTGGGATTATCCCATAGTTTTTCCTTTTTTACCTGTTAATCGAATGGCAATTATTCTCGTTATTCCTGCACATCAATTGCAATCTACTTGTAATACATTAAATTGTGGTTCTCATGGTCAATGCTTACTGTTTATGAACTCTGATAGAAGTTTTTGTAAATGTAATGATGGATGGTCAGGAAAAGGATGTATGATAGCTGGCTCTTCGAAATTCCACTGTGCACCAAACTCATTATCTGTCGGAACGAATCGTGATCGTCCGATTTGTGTTTGTCCATTAGGCAAATTTGGATCTCGTTGTTATCTCAAACATCCTTCTTGTCCTGACAATATGTGTAAAAATGGAGGTACCTGTATAGTAAGAGATGAACGAATGCCGAGTTGGAAGCCTATCTGTATTTGTATGGAAAGTTATTCTGGTACAAATTGTGCGACGAAAGATACTAAAATAGATATATCATTTGAGAAGTTGCCGATTCCTTCTGCTATTCTGTTTCATTTTATTACTGCTCATGGCGACAAACCTGAAAGTCGTGTAACATCATTCAAAAAGATTGCTGTTGATCAAATGTCAACAACTATTTATATATCAACTATGTTTCATTTGATATTTGTTGAGTTTTTTGACACTCTTTATTTCGCACATTTGCAATATACATATACAGCAGGTGAAATTATAAAAACAACTATCAAACCTCATCATCAATGTCGATCTATCGATGAATTATTGAGTGCTAATGTGAATAAACTTCATAAAATACGACGCGTCAAACATTATCCAATTATTTGTCAACAACACGCAAATTTATCATGTTTTTATGATGATAGTTACATTTGCTTCTGTTATAATAACCATACAACACCTAATTGTTTTAGTTTTAAACATAATATGACATATAATTGTCAAGGATATAATTACTGTCAGAATGGTGGTCGATGTTTTCAAAATGATATTGTTTGTCCAACATCATCAATATGTGAATGTAAAGAATGTTTTTACGGTAGTCGTTGCCAGTTTACGTCAAAAGGATTTGGTCTTTCATTAGATCTTATTCTTGGTCCTCACATTCGTCCTTATAATTATTCATTTGTCATTCAAATTAGTACATTGATTGTATCATTATTGACTCTTATTGGTTTCATCAATGCTATTCTTTCTGTCATTACTTTTCAAACTAAAAATTCTCGTAATAGTTCCTCTGGACTTTATTTACTCAGTTCTTCTATAACATCAATTTTTATAATTATTTTCTTCTCGCTTAAATGTTGGTTACTTATTCTTTCTCAAAAGAGGATAATTACCAATCGATCAATTGTCTCGATACAATGCTTGTTGATTGATTTTCTACTACGTATATCTTTAAACATGGAGAATTGGTTAAATGTGTGTGTATCAATCGAACGAGTTATAATCATAATAAAAGGTGTTCAATTTAATAATATAAAAAGTAAACAAATATCTAAGAAGATAGTTTTTGTTCTTCTTTTCTTCAATATTATTACGACAATACAAGAACCAATTTCTCGACGTCTTGTTGATGACGAAGAAGATCAACGTACGTGGTGCATCATTGAATATTCTCCATTTTTAAAAATATTCAATTCGTTATTTTATTTGTTTCATTTTCTCACTCCGTTTCTGGTACATTTAATTTCAGCACTCATTATTATCATACGATTGGCACAAAAGAGGAATATTTCTCGTCCTGATCAAAAATTTCGAAAAACTTTTCGAAAAAAATTGAATGAACACAAGCATCTTCTTGTTGGTCCTATAGTTCTCATTGTTTTATCATTACCTCGACTGGTTATTTTATTTTTGCCAGGATGTATGAAATCGTTTCGTGAACCATGGCTTTTTTTATTGGGTTATTTCGTCTCATTTATTCCTGCATTAGTATCATTCGTAACATTTGTTCTACCTTCAAATATGTACAAAAAGGAGTTTTCGTTTACATTCAGCCGTATAAAACAGTTATTCTTTAGAAATTACTAATTTTTACATCGAAGAACGCATGTGAAACACAATATCTAGTGGCATGACTGCTAAGTCGTGACACTCAGTTATGACTCTTGGCATGCTGAAGTCGCTGAACACATTATGATTTTATTCTTTAGATTATGTAAATGTCAACTTATAGAATTTTCTTGATTGCTTTGCTTTCATAAACTTATCAATATCGTGTGGGTGTGGGTGTGGGTTTTCTTATTCCCGCCCACACCCACACCCTCAGGTACCCTATACCTACTTATGGGTACCCCTGATATACCCTATACTTACGTGGAGGTACCCCTGAGGTACCCTAAACCTACTTCTGGGTACCCCTGACATGCCCTTTACCTACTTGGAGGTACCCTATACCTACTTATGGGTATCCCTGAGGTACCCTTTACTTACTTGGAGGTACCTCTGATGCACCCAATACGTACTCGGAGGTACCCTATACCTACTTAGGAGCATCTCTGAAGTAGCCTATACTTAACTGGGGATACCCCTTGGTGCTCTGTGCCTACTCGGAGATATACATTCTAGTAGGTATAGGATGCATCGATTTCGTACACTGAAACAGAGCGATTAGCTGACCAATGGAGCCATGAACGGCTATGTAACACAATAATAGGCTCTGCATTTGTGATAATGAACCTTGCGCAATTTTATAGGTCCAATAAAAATGGCTTCTTAAACATTGTGCGAATCTGATAATGACTCTGTAGAACACGTCAAGTTTTCCTTTGTATAATATGAAGGTATAGGGTGTGGGTGTGGGTGTGTGGGTGTGGGTGTGGGTGTGGGTGTGGGTGTGGGTGTGGGTGTCGGTCTCGGTGTGGGTGTGGGTCATTAGAGACGACACATACCCACACCATCACCCACACCTACCCTCAGGCTGTGAATGTGCTTTTGATGACTTCGAAATATGTTTACATTTAAGAGGGTGTGGGTGATGGTGTGGGTGTGTGTCTTCTCTAATGACCCACACCGACACCCACATCCACACCCACACCCACACCCACACCCCACACCTACACCCACACCCACCCACACCCCACACACACCCACACCATCACCCACACCCTCCT